GCCTACCCTAACGGGTCTGAGAAAGCAATCGCTCACGCTGCGAGATCACTAACTATGACTGAAAGAAACTACAGCCAAATAGAGAAGGAAGCCCTCGCGATTATATTTGCTGTAAAAAAGTTCCACAAGATGTTGTTTGGTAGGCAGTTCACCTTACTTACAGACCATAAACCGTTACTGACAGTTTTTGGATCTAAAAAAGGCATCCCGGTATATACAGCAAACCGGCTACAGAGATGGGCTACCACACTGCTGGGTTATGATTTCAAGATAAAGTATCAACCAACAACGGATTTCGGACAGGCAGATGCACTCTCAAGATTGATTGGTCTGCAGGAAAAACAAGAAGAAGAGGTGCTTGTAGCTGCTATAGATGTCGAGACCGAGGTTCACAAAATATTGTCAGACTCAGTTTCCGGACTCCCGGTCACATTTGAAGCCATTAAAGAGGCCAGCAAGAAGGATAATGTAATGAAGTTTGTTCGCCATTGCATACTCAACAAATGGCCTTCATCTAGGCTACATGGAGAACTCTTACAATATTTTCGTCCACGAGAGTCATTAACAGTTGTCGATTCATGTATAATGTTTGGCCATCGTATCGTTATCCCCAGAAATCTTCGACACCAAGTCATTAAACAGTTCCATAGCGGGCATCCAGGGATAAGTAAGATGAAATCACTAGCTCGTAGCTATGCATACTGGCCGGCAATGGACCATGAGATAGAGCGAAAATGTCGCGGCTGTTGGTCCTGTCTAGAGGCTGCAAAGAATCCAACGAGAGCTGAGCCACAACCATGGCCTAAACCAGACGGGCCTTGGCAAAGAATACATGCTGATTTCGCCGGACCGATACAGGGCAGGAATTACTTAGTTGTTGTAGATGCTTTCACAAAATGGCCGGAAGTATATGACATGCCGAATACGACTTCAGAGAGTACCATAAGAAGATTGTCAGGATTGTTTGGGGGTTCCAGAGATCTTAGTGACCGACAATGGTACTCAGTTTATATCATCCGCCTTCAAACGCTTCTGCAACGAGAATGGCATATTGCATCTACAATCTCCTCCATACCATCCTCAGTCGAATGGCCAGGCAGAAAGATTCGTGGATACAATTAAAAGAGCTCTGGTCAAAGGGGGAGGTGAGGGTGTCCAGGAACAAGTGATTAATAAGTTCTTGATGTCTTACAGAGTTACCCCTAATCCGGCAGTACCAGAAGGAAAGTCTCCGGCCGAGTGTATGTTCGGAAGGAAAATCCGGGCAGTTTTTAACAGTATGTTGCCGCCCAGAAAGACAAATAAGCCCACGAATGAAAATCGTAAGGTCAATCGTAGCTTCCAGGTGGGTGAAAAGGTACTTGTCAGATCGTATCAGGGTAATAGGAAGTGGGAACCAGGTGTCATAGAACGTCGAATCGGAAATGCGCTGTACGTAGTCCGGAAAGATGTCGGAAAATGCATAAGACATATAAATCAAATGCAAAGAAATGATAGTACAGTGGTCACAGAAAACCGGCTCCATTTCAATTGCTCGTAGATTCGTCTCAGAAGAACCATCATGAGCGCAAATATCGGAAAGACAAACGACGCAGAGAGAAGGCTGTACAACCCTCGAGAGTAATGGACCGCAAGAGGAATGCGACACCCAAGCTTCAGGTGGATCCAAAAAAAAAATCTTACACAACGGACTTTAAAGGGGGGAGGTGTGACGACGGACCACCGGTGAACTCGAGGAAGCTGTAAGAGGCTCAGAAGGAGCCGAAGACGTTCCATCCAATCACCTTTCGGAAGAATGGTCTAGAATTCCAACGTGTAGCTTCCCGATTGGGTAATGCTAATAACCCCCTGTACGCGGATTGGAAGGCTGTAATGATGATTTTGTTCTCACTAAAAACTATAAATACCTGACAATTTTGTACTATGTTTGACACTGTTTGGAATAATATTCCTTTCGTTAGTCTTCTGTCTTCTTATTGTGACTTGGAAGGGTTTGGTGTTCTAGTGCTCAGTTATACGCGGTAGTAGCAAGAAAAATCAGCTTTTTCAAGTTATAACAAAGCACTTTCATGACTTGAAGATCACGTAATATGATTGATAAAATTGATTAAACTATTTAGAAAATCGGTCAACATATTGGTTTGTAATTATCATTAAATAGTGTTTCTTCCTTTTTATCCTCATTTATTACAGATTATTTCAGTTTGCTTGTCTATCAGTTGCTCATCCAGTAAATATCTTAAAACCTTGTCAGTCTAACTAGAGGTTTGGCGACACAACCATGTATGCAGCTCATCAGTATAAGCAGTGGAGCATATCTTTTGCAAACTGAAAAAACTGTCGAAATTACACCAAAGTTGAGTAAGGTTCAAGCCATTAACATAGACATGAGTTGGGAGTGTACTCTCTCCAGTTGCAACATATGTTCTCTCTGATAATCACATGAGCATCAACCACTGTTTATCATCTTGTAAAGATTTATTTAGCCGGAAGCGTCGTGCAACACCACAACACGTATGTTTAGGGCAAACAGGCTTTTCGATTTCAACAATTCGTAATCACTATATTTGTGACTAACTTATACGCAACTCGATACTTACAATTAACTTTTTTGCACCATCAGCCGGTAGATATGAATAAAATGAAATTGAATCTAGAGCATGTCCCTCACGAATACACTCCTGCCTAACGAATTTCTTTTAGCTATTTGTCCAAAATGAACACAATTATCACTATTTTCACGTATGTATCGGTAGTATTACTAAATTCTGTCACGTTTAAGTGATAATGAGGTCAAGAAAATCTTCCAGTAACTGAATAAACCATATCAGTAACTGGAACACTAGTTGAAATTCTTCTTTACCACGGCTGAACTTTTGTTCTTTCAGTTAACTTACTAATGCAGATGGAATTGGAGGTCAACTCATACGGACAGTATACCGGCTAAAACGTCAAACGACTTTGTAGTTTAAACTGGAACTAATACCAATATTAAGATTTGGCGAGTTTCTAAGTTGTGGACGACCTTTGAACGAATCTTAAATGACCTTGAGAAATATTAGCTTATCGACAAACAGTTAGTATGAAGTAAAAATATGTTATTCAAAACCAAGGAAATATAGGTGATTCACTTCCTATACGTGGTTCAAAAACTTGTCAAGGTTAGAAAGAGGTTCTAAAATCGTAATGCATGAAGTAGAGGAAATCATCCATACGGCTACAGAATAGTCGGCCTCTGGAGCCATGGTAAAGTCTTAAAAACTCATTCAGCCTCAACCACATAGCTTCAATATTGTTTATGTCCACTCCGGTTGTTCAGTGCGAAAAGTGCCACTTGTAGATAATGACACGATGCACATAGCTAAGCCTATGTAGGATTCTGTACGCTCTCCAAACATCCGTATATATTGTAGTACCTAGCCGCAGCCAGTTTTACTGATGCTCTTATTCTTCAGTTCGCAATAATTTTCGTAATGTGCCTTAGTTAGGAATTATACAAAGGGTTTTCATCACGAACTGACATCAGCCATAATGCCAGTAATTTATTTAGCCAAATGGATAAAAGGCTTCTGCGTTAAAATCCGAGATACAATATCTTATATCTGACTGATTCGTCCACAAATTATAGTCTCGCCGTTTTATTTGTTATGGCCGCTCAATTATCACATTTTGCACAAAATTCCCTGTGAACCGATTGTACGTTAGCATTAGCTACTGAAGTTGGAGCCGTAACCTTGAAATCTCTAAGACGCTTCTGATTGGCTCGTCCATGAATTAGTCTCGCCCGGAATTTCTATAATACTGATTGTTGTCCTATTTCTTTGTACAAATTACTTATACTTCCTACAACTTGAATCACTACCAAATGTCATTATTATGCACTTGAATATGACTTGTTAAAATATCTCTATACTAAATCGTTCTTCCATGTAAGACCTTATATAATGTGCAGTTAAATGACAAGTCTACAGTTTTAAAATTCGGTCTATTATTAGAGTAGTACTCATAACGAAGTAGACAATAATTCTACAGTGTCTAAGAACCCTGCAGTAGCTCATGTTATAAATACCCCCAATTTTCTGAACATAAAATATTGAGTAGAGGATTCTTCATATGTTTCGCCCCTTTTCTCTCGTGTTCAAGTTGTCGTGTAGATTTAGCCTGGGGTTATTAGAAGAACTTAAGAAACCTATTCAACCATTCAGTCAGAGGATCTGTCAGATCCACGAAGTACCGTCAGTGGATATCAACTTACAAGGGTATATGCATCTCGGCGGTGATCTTGCAATCACGTAAACCACTTTAAACACAGCTAAGCATTCCCAAAAATGCATAACACGGCTCAGTATCAACACAAATACTAGAAGCCGCACTCAAAAATTGTAGATGCAGCATGGTGTACCTTATACTATCTACGAGTGACCAGATTCTGGAATTTGTTGCCTGCTGAAGTGGTCCAAGTTACTTCTCTGGAGTTTTTTATTAGGGACCTTAACATATTCTTAAGGACTTAGAGTAATATTAAAGATAATTTACCCGATTTTTTCACTGATTAATTTACACAGATTTCTTCCTTGAGGTTTCGGTAATCCACCACTACCAATTAGGGGAGCCTATTATACAAAGGTTGCTTCTGTTCCATCCATCACCATTTGAACATGGGCAGTGTCGGGATATGGACATGTTTGACCAAGCTCTCTTGTCTAGAATTATCCGTTAAAAGTAGAAAATCGGCATCAATCTCGAGAGTTTATAAAGGCGTCTACTTTGAAGAGCTATATACAGTCATGACTCCAGAAACGACTCCCAATATTTATGACGTCGCCTAATTTTTTCATATTATCTACAGTTGAATAAATTATGGAAAAGCATAAAGTATGTGCAATTCAAAAAATTAAATTAAAAAAACCGTGTTTCGTGTCTAGAGATTTCTGAGTATTTGTTTTGTCACCGCGTAAGCGAAAAGAAAATTCCGCGGGTCACTTGACTGTTTGGGAATAATGTCGGGCAATGTTGGGATGGAACAGCTTATCCCATTGGTTAACCGGCTGCAAGATGCATTTTCCTCATTAGGAGTCCCACTTAATTTGGATCTGCCTCAGATCGCTGTAGTCGGAAGCCAAAGCGCAGGAAAAAGCAGTGTTTTGGAAAATTTCGTCGGTCGGTAGGGCTGTTATTTTACCTATTTTATTGTCTCAATTAGAGACTTTCTCCCTCGTGGAAGTGGGATTGTCACACGCCGACCTTTGGTCTTGCAACTAATCAATTCGCGCAACGGTAAGCTACGGTTATAGTTTGATCTTATTATTAGAATATGCTGAATTCCTACACTGTAAAAACAAGCAGTTTACAGACTTTGATGAGGTTCGTAAGGAAATAGAAGCGGAGACAGACAGGCTAACTGGAAGTAACAAAGGAATTTCCAACACCCCTATTAATCTTCGTGTTTACTCTCCCAATGGTAAGCCAGTAATCTAAATTTTATGTATTCCCGTATTGTTTTGTGATAGTCATGTCGATATCGGTTTTTCTTAAGCTCTTTTGATTACGACGCACTTGATCTATTCCAGATTAACTCCCTGAAACTAATCATTTCAACAACAGTGAAAACTCGAAACAGTACGTTGTATTATAGTGTTTATGAACTTAAGGAAGAACAAATGTGGTTTTCAGGAATTGTTTGGAATAATGGTAAGGTGCCTAGATTAGGTACTTGTTAGTCCGCGATTAAAAATGACCATCTAACACATCTAACAAGTTTAAATACCGAATACTTATTTCCAAAATAAATATTTAGGATGTTTGGACAGTAGTTGTTGATTTTGTTGTCCAAATAAGTTCCGTAGTCTTCTCACTACCAGTTCTATACCAGGTGAATTTGTCATTCGAATGGTTTCATACTTGGATACCAAAGTCACCAATATGTGCAATGTCTTATTTTGTGTTGGGGTTTGAAAGCGTATCGGTTTAGAAAACTATTGATTTAAAAGTCGATGTTGTACGTATGTTTCACACGTAATGTAAATAAGTTACACGCATCAAATCATCATAAGGACCTCACCTTGCCAATTAAGTCGGTAGCAACACGCTCAATAGGAGAAAGTATCGACCTTGTTCATATTTAGATTCTAATGTCACTATTGATGTTCATACTTCCCAATCAATTTATTGGCGTTACTTGAAGGCAGTCCATAAATTATAGTCTCACCAGTTGATTAACCGATCGAGTTAATCCTGTCCGAAATTCAGTATTATGTTCACCTGGATTTTTTATTGTCTGTGCATTGTCAGTTGTGTTCTCCATCTTATGTTCATTAAATTTATCGGGAATTAAAGTACCTTGTATGATTAAGGATTGTTAAATAGGCAATGTAGGATCAGATGTCTCAATGCCAGACCATGTACGTACATTAAATTTATGTTTCCGTTTGCGCTAAGTAAGACTGAATCCAAAAAGATTTTGTGCTGTTTATTATTATTATTATATTAACACAAACATTAGTACTAGGAGGCACCAAATAAATATGCGCACATAAATCATGCGATTTATGTGAGGGATAGGATACTACCCGGGTGCCCAGATCGAAGCAGGTAGTTTTCTTAGGGAGCCATACCTGGAGCCTTTGACCTAAAGGTCTGATCCACAAGGCCGTCGAGCAACGTCACGAGATGCAATCTCATGGTAGCCTGTGACCAACGATTAGTTCGTACGCCATTTGTTCCCTCATGATCCTGGAGCCCATGTACACCATTGGTTTTGAATCAGGGTTTCCCAACTACCCTAGGTGGACTCTCCATGTCCACCGACCCGGTTAAAGCGCTGAGTTTCGCATTTCGTCCTCTCGAATTCGTAAACAACACTCCCTCCACGAGAAGTCAGTGAGTAGGACTTTTCTGGTAGAAGCTATATACGCGTGGCCATATGAGAGCATTTCGAGAGGGGGAGCTGACTCTCCCTAACCTTAGCTGTACCAGGGCATTTGGGGGCTTATTTTGTGCTGTCTGGATATGGTGCCTTTCTTAGTATTTCTTGCAGTTCAGCTTGTCGTGTAAGGTCTCACACAGCTCAACAAAACGATCGTCTGAATAATTACTGTTAGTCTTCAGCTTTATCTAAGTTGCACTTATTATGTGGTCTTGTACTAACTAAACGCTCAGACAACAGGGGTTATTTTTTAACAACAAATAACCTATTAGTTGAGTTTCCATATTAATGTAGGTTAATTAGTATGCTCGGTTGTAGTGAATTTTCAGTTTATCAGCCTATTATTCAGTTTATTTTACTAGCTATTCATTAGTTATTCATTTTAATTCATTACTGAGCAGCAGTATGACAACTTTTATTACTATTAATATTTTTGCCAACTGTTGTGAGTTCAACAACATGAGGTTTCCTGAAGTTCTAGTTTCAACTGTTTATAGATGTCTTTCATTTCATTTTGTTCCATATGTAACATTAGTTCTTTCTGACCAAAAACGTATTTCATTATAGATTCACTTTGCTTTGCAATAGCGTAACTTATCCCACAGTCCATTCCATGCTCATCACACCAACTAGGTTCTTCGTGTGCCTGTGTAGTTTTAAAAAAAATAAAATTTGTTTAGTTTTCGAAATTTCCCTCCCATTTTCTAGTTGAGCGGCCAAGTAGTATTTGGAATAAACAGAAATTTACATTACTATCTGTTTGTACAGATAGCTGTTAACCGTTTCCTGAAAAGAGAAAACCTCTGACACAATCGTCAGTCGAAGAATTCAGCATTCATTTAGAGTAGTCATTTGTGTTGTTTGTGGAATATCGGTATATTGATTGGTTTCAGTTCTGTCGTCACTTTTACGTAGATAATGATCTGCTACTAACCTGTAACAGCGTTTATGAAATCGGCTATTCCATGACCAAAGACAGGAAAGGTCTTTTAGCAGAGATGAGCTGTTGAGTCGCAAAGATAAAGAATGGCGACAAGACTGAAAATAAACTTGAAGTTTCACAAAATCCATTAGTTCGTAACACGTTGAATGGAAGTATCATTTGAATGGATAATAAGACTAAAGAAACAAGCTATTTTCCCCATAATTATTAACTGTTATATTTGTAAGTGAATTAGTATACTGCCCAGGAGCTCAGACAGAACTAGTTAGTTTTCTTGGAGGGCCACCACCCGAGGGTTTGACGTATAGATCTAATCCACAAGATTAGAGCGAAGTCATTAATTCAGTCTCATAGTAGTCTGTGATAAAAATTAGTTTCATATCCTATCCACTTCATTGTGATCTTGAAGACCATATACACCATATGTTTAAAATCAGGGTTTCCCAAATCCCCTAGGTAGATCCTCCGTTTTCAACAACCCAATCAAAGCTCCGAACGTTTTCGTTTTGTCCTCTCGTTTTCGTGAAAACTTCTTGCTGCGTGAAGGGAGTGAAACTTTCTTAGCAGAGGTTGTAAACCCATGGCGTATCACAGCATGTCAAGAAGTGAGCATTCTCCTTACCCTCAGCTGTACCAGGGCGATTGGCAGCTAGCATTTTTGTCCATTCTTTATTCTTTTGTTCCTGCTTTTGATGAAGTATTATTACTAACAAACATTTAATAGATCTCTCCTTATAAGAATTTCCACTGTATAGCTTTGAAAATTCAATTACAGAAGAGAAATCTTTATTTTAACGTTCGTATTCTACACTACTTGTACGGAATCTAGATTATAGCCTTTTTTCGCTGTAAAACATGGGAAAAGTTCATTATATACATGCCTTTAATTTTGAGCACATGAATTGGTTTTTGGTTATTGAATTTCAAGTGTATTCTCGACGTAGTTTACATTCAACCTGTTGTGTTCCATCTGTTTGCCTCTCAGAATGAAAAATAACACGTTTGATTATTCGAAGGAAGTCTTTCCACTTACTGTCGTGTGATATATCTGTACTAGTCTTATGTGTGACTCTAATGATCTATTGATAATTGCTTAAAATACCTACGGGGTATTGCACATACGATGTCCAACTATTGTATCTTAGTTATTCCTAACTTATTTCTAAATAGATACTTCGGTAAATTATGCGAATTTTTTTAACTTCAATGGTGGTTTTTTCAGGATGACTAAATTTTTATCTGAATATTTTAAGGAAATATCCAAACAGAGGATACAATAAAAAATTATTTAGAAACAGGCAAAGGTCAACAGAGTTATCACGCAAGGCCTTAAGTTGGTTAGCTAGTATAAATTCATCAAAGTGAATCCATCCGTGTTATTTCGTTCTAATCTTAGTTCTAAGATTTTATAGTTACTGCGAAATTTGTCATTATCTATATCTCTTTTCTTCATTCGAAGTTTTCATTTATCATCTGACCAACAGTTTATTATTCATGCTAACGTAATGTCGTTATTTTTGGTATGATAAAGGTAATTTTATTGATTAATTATTCTCTACTTTTCTGGGAAAGTTGATGAACACTAAATTAATATACTTATGTATCACATATGACTGGTGCTTATTTTCACGTAGAATAGTGATAAGAACAATTTAGCTATAAACTGTTGATCATGCGTTTGATATCTCGTATGACTGCTTTTGTTCGTTTATTTGAATAGTATCTTTAAATACTGAATTCCTGAATGCGCCAATATGTACGTAGTTTGTGTACAACCTTTCCTTTCATTAAGGATTAAGTTTTATAATTTATTGTAATTCATTATGCTGCTTCTATGATCTCTTTTAGTTCTCAACTTAACTCTGATTGACTTGCCTGGAATGACTAAAGTTCCTGTCGGTGATCAACCTCTAGATATTGAAGTTCAAATTAGATCAATGATTTTGGAATTTATTACGCAGGAAAATTGTTTAATTTTGGCTGTTTCCCCCGCGAATTCCGATTTAGCTAATTCAGATGCATTAAAGTTGTCCAAAGAAGTAGACCCTCAAGGTTTGCGAACAATAGGAGTAGTAACAAAGTTGGATTTAATGGATCAGGGTACGGATGCTCGAGAAATCTTGGAAAACCGTCTTCTGCCACTTAGAAGAGGTTAGTGACAATTTGTTTATTTTAAAAAAACTACTTGGAATTACTAGTATCCTTTCTATTCATAGGAATTTAGAAATACCTAAGCATAACACAAAGACGGTAATACGTGTCCAAGATGAAGTTATTCAAGGTTAAATCACCAAACGGTTTGGAAAGTATAGCTGACTTTTATTTCATATGAAGCATATTTGTAGTTTTTCATACATTCATTCTGCCCGAGCTCTTCTAGTCAGTAATTTATTGCACAGTGATAAAAAGCCATACAAGTGAACAAAGAATTCTTTTGGGTACATTTAACACGATAGAATCCCGGAAAATGTAACTTAAGAATTCTGAGCTCTAACTAACGATTGAAACTCTATTCCGAAATTATTTTTTCGTTAAAAGGCTGAACTATTCTTTAAAAGTATATAATACAGTTTAAGCCGAAAATATCAACCGTTGTTTTCCTGATAATTAATTTTAGCGTTAATGCATTCTCCTTGAAGGCTATAGTATGTGAATATGATTTTAGGAGGGGTCGAAAGTGTGTTTATACCTAGGATTTCTAACTACTGATATGATAAACGCCACCAACTCTTGGATTATCAGGCCAGTTTGTACCCATGTATGATGAAATACAATTAATATGATCTATTCAATGAATTTTAGGCTTATGATATCTTTCAGGTATTTGATATCACTAAAACGTTATCAATTACAACGTATAATGGATGACTGATCAATTCCTGTCGTTTGTATGCTAAGCTTGTTGTATCAAGATTTTTATATCAATACTTTCACTGAAAAATTTCTGATCTCTCGTTTCTGTGTAGTTATCTTCCTTAATAAAATATTCATACTAGCTCAAAAGAACCTACACTCCATCTAACAGTGTGTGATGCCTTGCTCCTACATCTTCTTTGGAGTGCCTGGTTCTAAACGAACTCGTTAACCGTAGGTAACGCTCACTGCTTTCTCTAATCCATTTCCAAGAGATGTAATTTAACTGGAAATTTAATGAATACTATGTTGCAGTACATCATATTTAGTTAAATTGTTGGCACAACCACTTCCATTTAAATCTTGTTTGGCCCACAACTAACGTATAACGCAGTTTGTGTAGATAAAGTTATTTCCGTCTTTGGTTATCCTCCTTAGTTATACCATTTCGCTCTTTCTTCGTTTACATTTTGACTCTTCACTTGTTTTTTTTCTCCCGCTACTTTTACTCATTTTGTTGCCTTGTTATTGTATTTTGTTCTCTCCTACTCAATCAATGAATTCAAAAATAATTTCTATTGGCTAACCAGTTGAGTCCTATTCATAATATCGGATTTTCATTCCTACTAGTTATTGATCTTGTTTCTATTCTTATTAATATTATGTCCTAGTAACCTTTCTTTCATTCATCTGTTCACTGTTAGTTATTACAATGTAAAATTGAATAAATGTTCTCCAATGGGAGGGGTGGAATTATTATTTGAGTTGCATTACGTGCTTACTTCTGTCTAAAATTGCAAAAGATAGAAAAGATAGTTTACCAAACCATGAAGTTTCTTTTGTTCGTTTTTGAAGAAAAGTAGTAAATAAGGTACCACTACTGATTTTTTTGTGTCTATAGAAAGTAGAATAAGCTTAACCTTTTATGTACACAACTCTTATGAACAGGTTGTCGGTAGCAGGGGAAGTGCACTAGTATACACATTCAGTCGAGGGTACATTACTTACTCCTGTCATACCTCGTGAAGGTTTATGGGCTGCCCATCAGGATTCTCAATCGAATAATGGCTTGGTCAGTCCATTCCAGTTGTTATTCATCCTTTTCATGTTTGCTTCCCACACCCGATGCAGTATTTTACTCGGTCATCTTCTTTCCTATTACTCTTCAGAATTCTAAGTTAGCGCTTGCCTCGTGATGCCGTTTGGTGATTTTCACAAATTATGTCTATCCACCTCCAACGTCTTTTCCTAATTTCCTCTTCAGCTGGAAGCTGGTTTGTTTCCTCCCACAGTAGGTTGTTGCTGATGGTATCCGTCCAACAGACATTGAGTATCTTTGGTAGATAATTGTTTATAAATACTTGTACTTTTTGATGATGGTTGTGATAGTTCTCCGAGTTTCAGCTCCACACAGTAAGGCTCTCTTGATGTTCTTATTGAAGTTTCTGACTTTGATGTTAGTTGACAGTTGCTTTCAGTTTCATATGTTCTTCAATTGTAGGAATGTGGTTCTTGCTTTGCGAATCCTCGACTTTACGTCTGCATCAGATCCTCCTTGTTCATCTATGATGCTACCCAGATACGTTAAGGTTTCCACCTCTTCCAGAGTTTCTCTATTAAATATGATTATTGGGTTGGTGTTCTCCGTGTTGTATTTGAGGATGCTGCTTTTTCCCTTGTGTATGTAGAGGTCTACTGATGCAGAGACTGACACTACACTGTTTGTCTTGACCTGCATTTGTTGATGTGTGTGGGATAGAAGGGGTAGGTCATCTGTGAAGTCCAAATCATCTAGTTGCATCTAAGCTGTCCGTTGTATTCCGTGCTTTCCCTCAGATGTGGAGGTCTTCGTAATTCAACCGACTATCAGAAGAAGGAGAAAGAGCGAGGGTGAACAATCTTGTCTGTAACCGATCCTCACTCGGAATGCATCTGTCAGCTGTCCTCCATGCACGACTTTGCAGTTTAGTCCGTCACGAGGACTCCGTATGTGGTGATAATCTTCTAAGGTACTACATAGTGTTGAAGATGGTTTCATAGGGCTATTTCATCCTCACTGTCAAATGCTTCCTCATAGTCAAGGAAGTCGATGTATAGTGACGAGTTCAATTTAGCTGATTGCTTAACAATGGTTCGTAGTGTCGCGATTTGGTCTGTGTATAACCGATCCTTACGGAATGCAGCCTGTTGATCTCGTAGTTGGGTGACTACTGAATCTTTCATCCAGTTCAGCAACACTGTTGAAAACCTTTACTGATACTGACACAAGTGTGATGCCTCTGCAGTTTTCGCACTTGCTCAGATTTCCTTTTTTGGTGCCTTGTTGAGGTATCCTTCTTTCCAGTCTGTCAGCACTTGTTCTTCCTGCCAAATCTCCCCGAATAGAATGTGAAGCATCTTTGCAGTTACTTCTATGTCCAAATTCAGTGCTTCAGATGGTATAGTTGTTTCCTGCTGCTTCTCCACTCTTGATTTGTCTGATGACCATCTTGATTTGTTTTAACGTTGGTGGAGTGACGTCCATTGGGAAGGTCTGTGTTTGGTGCTTTTATGTTCGGTGGATTGAGTGGATCTGGCTTATCCAGAAATTCCTGAAATTGTTCCGCTCATCTCTTCCCCTGTTCTTGAATCGTAGTGATTGGCTGGCCTTCTTTTTGCTTGACTTGATTGCTCTAGTTTCCCATACTTCTGCGCTAGTTTCTTCGTTATACCATGTAGTTTTTTTCATAAGTCCTTCACTTGCAGCTTTTTTCGCTGTCATTGCTTGTTCTTCCACGTATTTCTGTTTGTCGGATCTAATGCTCCTCTTAACTTGCTTGTTTGCTTCTTTGCATTCAGCTTTTGCCATGGTTTTCTCTGTACTTGTTTGGCTGTCGTTAAGTGCTACCTTCTTGTTTTTCGTTTCTTGAGTATTGTCGGCGGTTTCGGTGGAGATCCATTCCCTATGATTCTTGTTGCGGCCTGGATCCTCCTGATACGTTGAAGTTGGTTCTTCTTTGGTCCCTCTCCAGTTACTTCTTCTTTCGGTAAATCCTGTAAGGCTTGGAATCTGTTGTTGAGAGTTATCTTGAATTCTCTGAGTTTGTTTGTTTGTCGAAGGAAGGTTGTCTTGAACCTTTGCAATGCTGTTTCTCCAGTTGTCCAGTGCTTCTTTCGCCTCGGTTTCATCTTGGCAACCATCAGGTAGTGATCTGAAAGCTGTCAGCTCCTCTTCTGGTTCTTACGTCTTCCATTGACCTTGTGAATTTTTTACTGATGCAAATATGATCTATCTGGTTCTACGTGGTGTGGTCCTGTGAGACCCATGTAGCTTTGTGTGTGTGTCTTTGTGTGGGAATATTGCGTCGCCCATAACCATTTTGTTGAATGCACATAAATTTTCAAATCTGTTACCGTTCTCGTTCCTTTCTCCCAATCAGTCCGTGTCGTCCCATGATTTCTTCATATCCGGTGTTGTCCATTCCAACATTGACGTTTAGGTCACCCATCAGTATGGTCAGGTCCTCTCCAAAGCATTTCACTATGATCGATTGCAGTCTCTCATAGAATTGATATTTATCGTCGTTGTTGCTATCATTGGTTGGTGCATAACACTGTTTTGAAGTATGCTTTGATGATTCTGGATCCATGACATTTCCATCTTATAAGTGCTTTACGTGCTTCCTTGGACAGCATCAGAGCAACTCCTTGAGTGTGTGGAGCATTTTCTTCTTTGTGACCAGAGTACAACAGCTTCTCCCGAATCTAACTTTTTCAGTCCAGCTTGGGTCCAATGGGTTTCACTTATTCCAAGAATCTCCAAGTTGTATCTCCTCATTTCTGTAGCTGTTTGATTGGTTCTCCCCGTTACCCACATTTTCCAAACATTCCATGTACCTATAAAAGTTGTTGCTCTGGTTCTTAGAAGGGGCATCGGCCTCGTGACTTCCGAAGAATTCCGTCTTTCACCATGAGGCGTCATAATTCTCCTGAATAGTGATCCTTCAAGTGTCAGTGCAGAGTTTGTATGGTTTGATTTGTTTCTTGTGGTTAGTGTTTTTATAGCAAGGTTGTTTTCTACGAGTTGGGGTTGCTGACGCCCATGTCCAACTCTCTTCTTTTACCCGGGCTTGAGACCGGCAGTAACTATAGAAGACATGCAGGCTAAGTTTGAGTATACATTAAGATAACAGTTTTAAAAAGTATTTAATCATCCCAAGCTATTAAATAAGGATACCATTGATGAAGTAACTATGAGAACATAATCTAAGGATGGCATAAAAAATAATCTGTAGATAAGAAACAAACAAGTATCTTCTAATAAAATTTTCAGAATTCAAAATATGGTGAATACATCTGCATCGATTGGTTCGAGTTAGTTTCACCCAATATATCCAAGCTCTGGTTTTAAACATGGTGTAAAGGTAATCATTTACCCCCCACCCCCATTCACGGATAATAGAGGAGATTTGTGGTTTAGGAAGTGAATTTTGAAGGTACACAGTTTGATCTCAGCTTAGTGTCTTTCTATCTGTTATATCCGAGTGGAGATTAAATTACAGGTAACTTCCGAGGACTATTCATGGACTAATATTCTATAAATATTCTTATTGTATAACTATTCAACAATTACATTATGTATATTTATATCCCTCTTATGACAAGCTTTATTTTGGCCTATAATTTATTATTGTACGATTTACGGTTCTTAAGTTATGTTCAGTTTATTAACTACTGCCTCCCACATTCACAGCCACTTTTTGGGCTTATTTGTGTACAAATATTATTTCCTATTTTATGGTACGTTGCGGTCTGTGTGATTGATATATAAACCAAGTATGCCTGAAATAAACGATCTGCTCTGATTCGAAGCTGGTATTGTGTTCTGGACTCAAGTGGAAGGGCTCGTAGGACATAGGACCAATAAGGACGCTAAACTGCCCACACCGGTTGAACGTCATTGGTTGGCCTAGTGTGAAGATTCGTATAAGTCGTATTCGGATTGGTAGATAAGTCGTGTGATCGAAAAGTCAGACATCCAAGGTCATAACACTATCGTACCATTACTTTAAACAATATTACTGGTTGAAGAGAAAATGTATCACTCTGTAACAATTATGATTTTCCGCTAAAGTAGTTGATGCGTTGATGTTCCATACATGTATTAAGTTACGGATTAGTATCGATTACTCCCCAGTTCGATGTATTCTAGTTTGACCATTGAATGGTTAAGTAAATCATGCATAAAATAATATATTTTTGGGAGTTTTAATCTGTGGTTGTGTCTGTTGTGGATATACTTGTGGTGTATAGCGAATCATTGTCTCCTGTTAACATTTTTCCTCTATAACAAGTAGCCACACCAGTATTTTGCCCAGATTCACCGTGGTAAGAAACGGTTTTGGAGGCTGAACGCAAATCTAAGACTTAGAAGTTTAACTTCGATGCCACTTATTTAATGGTCCCACAATAATTTGGGATGCATTTGTCTTTAAAACGCTATACTACATGTACATTCTGATTGATTGTTCTTATTCCTTTTTAAATCGACTTATTCCATGCGATGATGCTAACAGTAGCCGGTCTAACATTATAGAATAAATACAAGTTAAGTAGACAGTGCTTGCTAAAATAAGTATTTTAAATATATACTTGGTTGGGGTCCATGTGATTAATATAACCAATGGTTAGAGACTTTAAATGACATGGCTCAAGATCGTTTGCAATGGTGCAGTTGCATCCATTTTTCATCTTCCTTGAAATTTTGAGCTTCTAAATCTCCAATAACTTTGTTTTTATCTCACTAATTTCTATTTTTCGAATTATATCTTCGATGCCTAATCTTCTCTATTACCGTGGATACTATTACTACACCTACTCTTCTGGGATTCGATCTGACAATGTCATCTCTGCGCTGATGGGGTATGGGAAATTGAATCGATTTACATACGTACGATGTCCTACTTTCTTACTGACTGAAGGATATCTCCTCATTAATTCATCAAATGTAACACTAACCAGTTTTCTTTTTCATTTAATTATTATAAGTAATACTCTGTTTCTTTCCTATTAATTAGGATATATCGGTGTGGTTAATCGTAGTCAGCGGGATATTGAAGGTCGTAAAGATATTAAAGCTGCTTTAGCAGCTGAAAGAAAATTCTTTCTAAGTCATCCATCTTATCGTCATATGGCTGATCGAATGGGAACACCATTTTTGCAATCTACATTAAATCAACAATTAACTAATCATATTCGAGATACTTTGCCTGGTCTAAGAAATAAACTCCAATCACAAATGCTAGCTATGGAAAAAGAAGTTGAAGAATATAAACATTACAAACCTAGTGATCCATCTTTTAAAACTAAAGCTTTGCTCCTGTAAGTTTTAATTTATATACATTGGCTGTTTGGATTTTGTCATTGATATTTACGACTGCAATTGATCAGTCTCTTTTGGCAAATGTCCATCCTGTACAAACTGCCTCGATATTTTCATTAAGTCACAGGCATTTTCTAAACAGAGAAGGATGGTGCCTAGCAGTGGAATCCATCCAGCTGAATCATATGATGGCGTTTGGAACGAACGGTACTGGGTTTGAGTCCCAGGGTAACTATCAAGTTTGGAATGCAGGTACGTCCTACCGGCAAGCCCCAAATAGAACGAAATGCACGTCCTGAATCATACTGTTAGCCACCATCCATCTTTGCTTAAAAAGTACTGTAAGTTCTGTTATTTTTTATTAAAAAAGACAACCCTCATGTTTACTTGATATATAACATCGTCAATCTCAATTTTAAATCACGCCAGTTGTACATTTTGATGTAGGAAGGAGTTGTGTTGTTATGATATGTATGTTTACTATTCTGCATGTTTGGTATGATAGGATTTTATCTAACTAAAATTCTTGATCTCCGTAGTAAAGTCTATTTTCATCAATATTAATAATATCAAAAAATAAGCATGAATTCGTGAATTAGGTTCTGAGTCATTTTTACTGTATTGCGACTAGAAATGATACGTTGTTGAATAAACATAAACAATCATTATGGCGCATATTCTTGATCTATTAATTTAAAATTGTGTATGTTCCGACCAATGAGCGATAGCTACATTTCTTCATCTATGTAGACCAAGCTAACGATAGAGTTGTGTACTTTTATTGTTCGGAACGGAATTACACATTTTATTACCACTTAGCGTATCAGGGGTATCGGATCGGTTAGTACATAGTACAACTAACGTTGTATGATATACTTATGATTATCGGTCTATAAATCGGACTCATGCAAAACCATAAATTTTTAGTTTCAGAAAACATGCTCCAGTTTTTTCGTCGGTTTCACTCCTGACCTTATTTTTTTTACGTTTTAATTCCTATATTTACTTCAACAGGTTTCCTGTGATTTCAAGGCATGTCATACATTTAGATAGTGCAATGCGAAGATGAGGCTTATCATTGTATTATTTAAATTTATCAAAGGAATTAATTTTCAAACATGCAATACACAGTTTTCTTAGGTCCTACCTTATTAAAAATAAATCAAACTAGTGGTGTATCACAGTAGTTGAAGAGTTTTACTTAATTTATTATAAATTACAAATTATCACTAAATCCAGAAATAATTTGAAGTATAACCATGGAGTAATATTTCTTTTCCCTTCTAATTTCAGAACAGTACAAAGTTTTGAAAAAGATTTTCATCATGCAATTGATGGAGGAGGTTCTGAAATAGATACAAAAACGTTATCTGGTGGCGCATTAATTAATCGTATATTCCATGAGCGTCTACCATATGAAATGAACAAGGTAAAATGTTCGATAATTTACTTTTTAAAGTATGTTCAGCACTCTATTAGTATCATTTTTATGACAGAGTTGACAAATCGTATAATATTTACTCCTCAAATGTAATCAAATAGCATGTCATTTTGATGTTTTCAGACGACTAGTTTGTATGCCCTGTTGTGTAGTTATACTTAGATTTCTGTTCAGTTAAAAGTAGATTTCGCTATGTTCAACGAATTAAGATATCATCCGAAAGAAAAAACAACATGCACACGATTTATACGTATATATACGATACAAAAATGTCCCTGAAAACTTCCAAAATAGCGTACTAAAAGCGGAAACGAACTACGAACGTTCAAGGTCCTTCCAGGCCAGAAACACAAACTGAAGGTAGAAATGGGAGCTTTTGGTGTGAAAATGGGACGTTCAATTATCTGTAATAAAATTACAAAAATGAGTTTACCGAGTGATTTCTGGGGAAATAGCATCCCCAGCAGGTTTATTGTTAAGGGTTGGTGTCAGTACTCTGATCAGACTGACGATTGTAAACTCGAATTTCCTTTTTTGTTATCATACAGCCGTGCGTTTATAGCATCTCCCAAGGAAAATCCTATTCAGTCCATTCACCTTTTGATCGTATTTACACAATAGTGACAGTAAACTCGTAGCGCTCTGTGTATACTAAGGGTCATCTATGTGTTGAAAAGTCATGACTACTGTCCAATAAACTAGTTTAACCATAGGATCTTGCAGTAATATATGTGGGTATCGTCACCAGCTACCGCGAAAACCCATCCTTCGAAGTTCCACACACGTCTTGTGATTTGTATTCTCAAATGGAAAGCTTCAGATATATTTTCCAATTTGTCACTAATCTTTATCCTTTAGTGATTTCAGTGTCGAGTTCAAAGATGGAATATTTCCACTTGAATGTTATGTTTTTCTCCAGGTTCTGTGGTCAGATTGAAGTACAAATATTGTCACTGTACATATTTACTGTACAGAAATTTAACGAAATTCATAAATGAATTTATTTCGATGATTTTGTTCAGTTACCGTTAGACATTTTTTATCGAATAATAGACCTGTAATTAAAATAAATACTTCGTTTACTTGAGCTGTAATTTTATGACACTTCTTACTAAAAAACTTCCGATTATGCTTAATGTGTATATCGATCGTTGATTGACTTAAACATACGAAGTTTGTAAAAAGTATCGAGCATTCTTAGAATTATTTTTGTCTAAGACGTGCACCATTTGTTACTTGAATCCATATTTATGACTGACAGACAGAAATCGCCACCATAAGGGCCTGGCAAACGTGTGTGTAGACCCGATTCGCTGTATCACATTATGACGAGACGAAAACAACAAGATGAATAGCAAGAGATAGAAAAATGTAGTGGCAATGATAATATGACAGACCAAGCCTTGGGAATATAGTTCACAAAGACAGAATGGAAAGGTATATATGATAGGATAATAAATCTCAATATCGAGAGGAAGATAAAGGACAAATGCGTCTGTGCAATTGTGAGTGGTCCTAAACCATGTCACTCAAAACCCTAACCACTGATAGCGGTTGTCACCTGGACCTCAACCAGGTGGTTTGCATCTACCACTATAGGTTAGATTAACAGTCAATGTCTTCACGGGCTGATGACAAGTTTTAGCTTGGCCATCTCTAGCTTCCATGTTTATACACTGCTTTCCACCAAATTTCTTTATTTTATATTCTACCTAATTTATTGTTTCCTGATTTGTTTTGATTGTGGTTTTGCTCATTAGATCGAAACTGATGAAGAAGAATTACGGAAAGAAATAAGTTACGCCATTCGTAATATACATGGTATTAGGTAAGTGGTCGATTTCCATTTGTATTATCTTTCATCTCAAAAGTTTTAAAACTTCGAAAGTTAAAACAACGGTGATTAATTCTGTTCTCTATGTGAGTCAGGTTTTAAGATAAACAAACATTGTAAAATCAATCTAGACCTCAAAGATTTATATGATTCTTACTACTGTAGCGTACTTATTTCGCTGACTATCAAGTTGTTTAAAATGCAGTTTCAGTATAACAATATGTGGTTTGTACACATGTGTTCAAATAATGTAGAAATTGAATTGAATGCAATTTATGAAATATGATCTGTTGGAGTCCTAGATGGAAACGTTACTATTGACTTCAGGGAATTCTAACGGTATGTTATTCATGGTAACACGACACTTTCTGTCCGGCTATTGTATTACTTTAAACTGTTTAACTATCTCGGACCGTAATTGATTAGATCCAGGTTTTCTCTCTACTGGAACCTTCAACCCCACATAATTTTATAGACAAGGTTAGTGGTGGTTAAATTATTGATCAAAAATCTTGCAAGTATCTAATACTAACTTTTATAAATTTTCTTTTGTTTCGGTAGAACTGGATTATTCACACCTGATTTAGCTTTCGAAACTATAACTCGTAAACAAATTGATAAAATGAAAATACCGTCATTGAAATGTGCTGATTTAGTTGTGGCTCAATTGACTGAAATTGTACACGCATGTACTGCACGTGTAAGTATATAACTGTTGTCAAAATACTGTTACTATTATTACTATTACTGTTTTGAAGTTTGACTTGTGAAATTTGTTTATGATAAAGTTAGTATTCATCACAATTTTGGGAGTTTAAACTATTAAATTTTGATCCAGTAGCTCCATTGTACTGTGCTTTCTACGAAACCTAAAAGTCCTTAGTTCGGTTCTTGTCAACTGGATCCTGTGTATGTCTTGTTGTGGCTACTCAAAAGACGACAAAGGTTCAGTGTTTTCTTTAGTCTTCAATGTTTTTCTAACCGCGTTCATCATCATTTATTTATTAACCACATTTAGCAAGGTTGACAAACTGTTCATATTCTTAGTTAATTTCTCGCTTCACATTACACTTGTCACTTTAATTGTTGGTTCTATATAAGGAAAAGTGTTTTTTTTTCTTACATCAAAACACTTTATGACGTACTTTATTCATGTTTTCCTTCTTTATTCTGGATAATTTTTTTTGTACTTTAACTTAATTATTGTAGTAATAATATCACTATTTTTATTTATTTTCATATGTGTTATTAAAAGAATGATTTGTAAAAGGAAAGTTGTTGATTATTTAATTTAATTTGATTACATTGTAGATGGAGAATTTTCCACGTTTAAGGGAAGAAACAGAGCGTATTGTGAATCAATGGATTCGTGAAAGAGAAATTCGTGCCAGAGATCAAATTGTACTGTTAGTTGACATACAGTTATCCTATATGAATACCAATCATGAAGATTTTATTGGTTTTGAAAGGTAACTATATTATTATAATAATTATTATTAGAATACTTGATTCAGTTGATGACGTTTACCGAGATTAGAATTTCTTAGTTGCTCAATTATTTCATCTCTATTAAATTAAATGTACTTAAAATATTCCTCTCGTCTTTATGTTGATCACTAAGCATTATCATTTGTCAGCACGATGCAATAGGTACAATTGTTATCGTGCAATATGAAATTGCATATATGGACGTTAAAATATTGTTTTAAATTAATAGATGTTGGTATACCATAAAGTATAGTCAGAAATGATATTTAAACTCGAAGTCAATACCATATACCCCATTTAAAAAAAGTTGAACCAAATAACTATTCTATGTATTATTAAATCTCAATTGACAAAAATGTACCATAATTCAAATACATTCATTGTATTTATAAGTGCTCTTGTCGTCATAATATCATATTAAGCATTAGTTATACATGTATGTATGTTCAATAAAAATGTTATTAATACTACTGGATGAGTGGTGCCAACAATTAAGAAAATAAAACAACACACTTTAATTTAGAAGTATTTTTACTTTCGAACGCAAATAAACTTGGAGTTGAATTAATCTATGTACATTATTGTATCATGAGCAAAAACAACCACTTACTAATGATTGTGATCTCTTCAACGGATTATTGTTTATTGGTGTGAGATTCCCAACAATAGTTTATCCTTATTATGTAATAAAAATGATATTTTCTTGAAGGTTCTGTCACAATTAGTCAATATTTATTATTAAGCTGCTTAAAATGTATACTTTTCTTTATCCAGATAATACATTACGTATTTATTAATGTATCATCAATTGAACAGTTTACATCATATTAATGGCTTAATGCTTAAGCATTGTCCCCTACTAATGTTTGGTGTATCGATTTCTTTGCGATCACTTGTCAATTTCGGTACAAATTCACGAAATATGAAGATCGATTATTTTTCCATAACTTTTCTTTTAAACGTCTAAGTACAAGTTATCACTCCATAAGAGTGCTTTAACTTTATTATAACTTGCTAGTTTAGACACATAGTTCACACTGTCTACTGGGACTTGTAACCCACCACGGAGATTTGTGTTGTTGTTGGGTCTCAGAAGTATTTTTTGTTCAGAGGTTTGTGGAGATTGTTGCCTCCTGCTGAAACTAGGAAATCCTTTGAGCTCTAGTGAGAACCTGTGATCACTGTAGTTCAACAATGTTGGGTGAGGGAGTTACCCATCAATGACAGTGAAAAATGGATAGTATAGCCTGTCGAACGAAGTTAGACATGTAACCATCGGATGCTGGCTCAGGTTAAGCTCTTACCACGAGATCTGTAAGTCCTGATTTCGATGTTACGTGGGTGATGGCTGTTTGCTTCTGCGAACTCTCATACTAGGACGAGACAGCTGTACAGTGCTTTCTGATTTCCAGTGATTGTCTAGCCTAGATCTGTTTGTAATCTCAATAATATCTTTTTTGTTTGTTAGTATATTTCATTCCCACTTTTTGACGGAATAGTTTCAAAAAACACTTAGTCTAAAAGAGCATAAATATATGAATCTTTTTGTTGTATTAACGTTTGAAATTGTCGGAACAAAATATTTTTCCATCTTCATGTTCTTCTGAATACTGTGTTTGTGAATTGATTTGAGTTTACCTATTGTACGGATTATTTTTCCTTTTTTAAATCTGTCAACTTCTATTAATCTTTTTGTGCTGTCTAGTAAATTTTGAGTACAGTTTTCATCGTGAGTAAGTAGCTTTTAAACATTCATCTAAATAAAAAAGTAACAGTCATTCTAACTTTACTAATTAACAATGAACATTCACGATTCTCGTCAAAGGATCAAATATAAGATGCTCAATAGTCTTTAATGACTTGTGATATTCTAAATAATAGTCAGTTTGTTATTTATCTTGCCTTATTACTATGTAATTTTGTGTCCGTTGAACGATAACCATGATCAGTGGTTAGAGAGTTTATGTAATATGGCGCAAAGTCGTTCAAAATCGAACAAATTCGATCACTTTGTTTTTCTCCCCATCTTAAATCTTATTATTCCTTCACACATATCTTTCCACTCTACCTTTTTGAACCATATTCCCAATGTTCAGTCTGTCTCAGTGTCATTGCTACTACATTTACTCTAAGATTACAAATCAAAATAAGGCTACATACATCATTATGTCATTAAAATCCTTTTCACCGTTGTTCATAAGCGCATAGATACACATTTTTCATCAATCCTGAATATATTTTTATTCGTTGATGTGTTTTCTTTAGGAATTCTCTCATACATACGCCGCTATGTATATTACGGTATGGTTTTAATGTGAAGTTATTGTCACCATAACATTTCAGCTCATACCTTTTGAAATAATGTTTGTTTACCTTTTTCTTATGTATATCTTTTAACTTATTTAATTGTTGGTGAATTTAATGATGAATACAAGTCTTTAACCATTTAGTATAATAATACATATATACATGTGATTGTTTGAGAGTGTATGCGCTTATTTGCTTGCTTATACTTGCTTTCCTGCTTTTAAATTTATGCTTACATAAACATTTTGTTTACTTTTCAGTTCTTTAACTTGAAATTCATTAATATTCACCAATTATTGTGCTTAATCAGAAGAAAAGCCCAAGAAATTTGGATTTTTGTTTTACTAGATTCTAGTTAAAAAATAATATTTCATAATAAAATCGTTTTCATTCGGATTACATTTTCAAGTTACATAATTCCATTCATAAGGAATCCAGTCAACTTTGTTTTATTCATATGAACACGCATTGCTTAAGTTCGCTTAGAACCTTGTAAAAACTCTCATTTCTTGTTATATAGGACAGTTTTTTTCCTAGGAAGTTTTTAATCAATTTAGAAGAATTGTTTTCGACTAGCAAGATGAAAAAGATAGGATGTTGTGAACATGTTGAAGATGGTAAAATTTACAGTATGGAATTCAAAGTTACATAAGTCCAACAACACTTAGTTTAATCTGTAAAATATAAAATCAAGGTAAAATTCTATCAGCGCACTATTAGATAAAGTATTATATTGTTTAATGGTTTTCGATGCGCAGTTGATGTTCATCTGTTGCATTAGTGTCAGTTATGTTTATAAATCTACGTATTAATATAACCGTATTCAGTTTTACCTACTGTTTCTGTATCCGGGTGATCAAATTAAAGAATAAAAAGGCTGGTTATGCATTCATCTCTTTCTTTATTTTTCTGTAGTGCAGAACAACAGTCGTCAGAAGTAGCAAAAAATAAACCTGGAAATAAGGTCAGCTCAGTATGTCTGCGGATTTATTTTACATATATATGTGTATATATTTTATTATTTAATATACGAACAGTTTGTTTCTATTGAGGGAGATTTAAATTCTGTAAATTACGTTGTTTTGTTCATATCCTACTAATTAAATGTACGAGTAAACGTAATAGTTTACAAATACTATCGTTTTAATGTTTACATCTGATCAATTTATGGGGAAAAATGATGCTGACTACTGGTGATGCCGTTTGGCTGTTAGAATTTCACCAAATGCTACAAGATCTAAACCTGCATTTTAATGATTTAATGCCAAATACTCAAACCATTAATTCACCACTTCCTTAAAAGTTGTAACTATCGTATGTCCATAGTGATTTTCTATATATTAAAGGATTATCCCTCAACTACAGGAATTTAATGTGTAATGTGACATTCCAATTCTCGTTTATGATTTTGATCGTGTGGCCGAGGAGACAGTAGACATTGATACTCCAACGATTAATACCTTTAAAAGTTATCCCAATTTATCCGTATTTTAACATACTATGCATGGTGATAATGCGTAGTGAAATCGACTGTTCAATGTTTTTTTTTCTAATTTCATATCGCCTGTATGCTTCGCTATTGAAGTAATTGATTTGTCCAGTTATGGGTTATCAATGGAAATATTTTAGTTAAGTCATTTAGACGTCATACTTTGAAGCTCGATGTATCGTAGTTATAGCGAGAAAGCCATTCAGCCAATACATCATTCGAAGCTAACGTCCGTTAACGAATTTCATACATACTAACCATCTTCATGATTAGAACACAAGTGATTTTAATTGTAAAGTAGATATTTGCGTACATCTTCATACATATTCATGTTTTGCTTCATATGTATAAACCTTTATTCACAAATAATTATTATTTACAAGTACCTATTAATAATTATTCACATCACTATTTCGCTTATTTTCGAGTTACGATTCAGTCTAATTTACCTTGTTAATGGAAATTGCTTAAAGACGCAGCTTTTGGTTTTAGAGAAATTAAAACATGTACGAAGAAGTTTATTTGGAATGTACGGAACGTGATTTACAAAGGAATGCAAGCAAGACGTATGCTTCGTATTATTTCGGACTCATCAACTGGATGTAATTTCATCCCATAGTTGATGTTCACTCCGGAATTCGAACCCTGTACCTTCCACTTTAAACGGGATAATCTAAACCATTTCAAATTAAATTATGTACAGTGAAGCTTAATTTTACCATTCAATAAATGTGATTATGTTTTTTTAGTAGAGGACACAATACTTTTTATGAATATCCGTCAAATTTGAAGAAATAGTTAAACAAAAATTGGGCAGCGAGTATATAAAGGACAATATTTAAAAAAAATATTTAAAATAATCTGAGATTGAAATTTAAATAACTCCATTATGTCGCGTAACAAACCGTTTCGAACTTCATCAAGGGAGCAATAGACATTGTGGGAACATTTTTTGAAGGGTCAATTTGATAAGTATTTAAAAGAATATTTCAACATTTTACTTAAAGGTTATTTTAGCGTGGGTACTAATTATATTCTATTTAAGTAAAAATATTTTTAATTCTCTAAGTTTTAGCGAATTATTACTTACGACGTAGTGCTTCTTTGTTGTCATATGCCAGAGTTTTACTATTCATCAATGATTTCTACATATTAGGGCCTTTACTTTCAAAAGTAGAAACAACTGTAATCGCACTTGGAGTCACTATGTCGAAATTCTAACCCATAAGTATGCATCCAATTTCATTATACTGAATTTTGTATGGGGTGTTCAACGAAAATAGGAATATGTCGCTAAATAGCAACATCTGATTGCATTAATATACAGATTTAAAATGTATAAATGTGAAGAAATAACTAGACTAATGAATCATCATATCAGCATAGTTATTAGGGAAGTTCGTATTGAGTTGTGCATAATCTGACATTAAAAAGCAGTTATATTTATCTACATACATTCTTGGTCAATGAATAATAAATGTTTATGCATACATTCCTTTTTTTCTTATGACTAATAGTCACATTGATTTTATTTGTTTTCCAGGTAATTCGTAAAGGTTGGTTATCTTTGCAAAATGTTACTTTGCTTCGTGGAGGTAACAAAGATTTTTGGTTTGTATTGAATACTGAATCATTGACCTGGTACAAAGATGATGAGGTAAGTTACATAACATTTATTAAATATCCTCTTATGAATTTAATTTTGAATACTTTGATATTTGCCTCGCTTTATGTTTACGACAGTAAGGACTTAGAGATCGTTAATTTAATTTTTTAGAATTTTGTCTAGTCCAATTTATTGCTTATTGGTTTTGTGTTTTGACATTTCTCAACGGTTATATACAGGATATATATTTCATCTTAGTTAATACTCGTTAGCTAATGTCGTCGGTAAGATTGTATCTCAATACTTACTTAATCATGATGCACTATTCCATTCATTCTTGAAAACCTGTTAAACTGTTCAGTACTTCCCAACAGATTCTACCAGTATTGGCGAAAAAAGATTTATTTTAGCCCCATTTTAAAGTTTGTAAGCTGCAAGTATGTGGTTAAATCTATTAGAAACAAATACACAACAGAATAATTTATTTATATATTTAGTCAATGTGGCCTATTAATGTTACAAATTGTATGCATATGTTTATATAAATATATATACTTTAGGTTACTGAATAGTTTCTGTCAACTGCTACGTAGTTAAGTATATCCAAATTTACCTACTGATCAAACAAGTAAATCATATTTAATTCGATGTAGTTTTTATCTAGTTTTTGAATAAATTGTGGAATTGGTAATTTTATTTGTTGTGGATATATTTCTGGCTCATAACAAATCCACCTCTGCTGTCTTTTTTTCTTTGCATTATGGTGTATTAGGCCCTGTTTAGTTATACAGGGGCAAGTAACCAGTTTTATCCATAGGATATCAAAAGTAGCTACGCTAAAACTTTGTCAAGTTACAAAATAGTACGACGCCCCTGAGCCGGCACATTTGTTGACCGATTCTTGAGGGAATCTAAATGTTTTCTGTAAAATTCTTACATCCCATCATAGTTGGTCACGACTGCAATCAAACATCCGCTTTCCTCTGTCTTCTCAATCGTTCGGGGATAAAATAGAGTTATCTTGGAGGGGGTGACCAGTATTTTTCTTAATAACCTTTTGTGGCATCGTGTCCACTTTTGTAATTGCGTAGATGAGTCAATATGTAACTATCAATTAGTCGAAATATTTACAAGTAAAAAATATTCCGTCGATTTTTATCCCAGACTGACAGTTGGCGAATCGTTAAAGCTAGGTAATATCAGTTCCGGGTGAATATCAAATTTTCATACAAAAACCTCACAAAATCACCTAGATAAATGAGTATGCATTGAATTCTTTCTTCCAAGAAAAAAATATATATATACTGTTAAATAATTAGACGCATAGTATTTTTATCAACAATATATTACTTGTTAATACTGAAGTCGACTAGGGATTAATATCCTTACTGTTAATTTTTCACATTTTTTTTCAGGAGAAAGAAAAGCGTTATGTCCTATTATTGGATGGTTTAAAAATACGCGATATTGAAACGGGATTTTTCGGTAAAAAGCATGCTTTTGCACTATTTTATCCGGATAATCATAATGTCTACAAAGACTATAAACAATTGGAATTGTGTGCTGAATCAGCTGAATTAGTTGATTCATGGAAGGCATCATTTTTGCGTGCTGGTGTTTATCCAGCTAAAACTAAATCGGAAAAAACGGAGGTATGTAATAAAAACAACATTATCCTATGATGGCTTTCTGTGGTATATGCTTATCTTAATGATAAAATGTTTTGAAGACTATCTAACTGACACAGGATTATATCTTTTCTTACGTCGTCTATTATCGAAATCCCGAGAAACGAATTATAATATTTCACCTCCGAATTCATCTAAATCCCCTTTCACCATCAAGTCATCAAATTAAAATAGTTCCTGCTTCACTTCAATACCAGTTGTTGTGAATAAAGATAATGATAATGGTCAATAAAAGAAAACCTAATTACCAGTTATTATTTCTTTGTCATTGTCATTGTGACATTTAGTGTAAAATAAATTGAGATGTTTCGAAAAAGCATAGTTTATGTTGAAGTCGATTATATTATAGAGTAATTTGTTTCTGTATTGGTTGTTTGAATCTTCCCACTGATATTTATGACTGCAGTTGATCAGTCTCTTTTGGCATGTTTGAATCCTGTGCAGATTGCCTCGATGTTGCTTTAAGTCACAAGCATTATAATCAGAGATGGAATCAGTAGCTAAGTAGATACACTCGACGATGTTTGAAGCGAAAGGTACTGAATTCGAGTTTCAAAGTGAACATCAACTCTGAGATGCAGGTGCATCCAGCTAATGAGTCTCAAATAGGATGAGACGTGCGTCATGGATTCCACTGTTAACCGCCATTCATCTCTGCTTATATCAAATGTGTTTTTTTTCGTATAATATTACCAAATAAATGTAGATATTTTTTTGTACTCATAATAATGAATAGTGGGTTTTATTTTTCTAACATATAAATCATCAGTAATTAAAATAGTTTTGTTACAAATGAAAACGAGTGCATTTATATATGATAGATAACATGATATGAACTATACTGCAGTACTTTTTTATTTGCATGAGATAGTTCATATACGACTTGACCGTTATGTTTATTATCTGTAATTTTATACTAAGAAATAAACATTTTTGGTCAGTAATTTTCTTTCCTCTTTCCCGTAACCATAAAATATGGATTGTTGTAAGTACTCAACTTTAAAAGATTAAAAAGGTACCTTTTTCGGATTATTGGGTTGTAGGTAAATTATAGAACTTATGTGTATAGAGTTAACCAATAATAGGTATCTACGTTAACTACATTAGTGAGGACATACATTCTAAACACCAAATTTATGCTTACCTTGAGATTAGATTCCGAAAAAATATTTATGGGCTATGTTATTACATGTTACCAATGATTGATCAGTACACTAGTAAGAATGGAAATATTTCTGATGTCGTTTTATTAAATTCTTTTGTGAATATCATTTAATTCTTTTCAAAAATATGTATTCTATTGTGATTCTAAATCTAAATAGAATTAAGATATTTCATACTTTGTCTGTTTGAAATATTCTCCAAGTCGAAAAAGTTGTTTGGGTTGACTCTTTCAATAAAAAAGAAAAGAAACCTATTGATTTAACATCTTTTTATGGTTCTGGAAGGTGTTGGTCATACAAAATAAATAATTATGTAGCGTTTTTATAAAAATTGTTCTCGTTGTTATCGATCATACACGTGCTACTTCATGATGTGGTACTTATGTTTTATCGTTGATTAACGTAGCATCTTTTTATTTTATTGGATTAAAATGTACTCATCTTAGTGGCTCTAGCTAAATTCAAAACCGATTGTAAATTTACTGATCACAGCTGTGAAACCATGTTTCTTAATTAGCTCTCAAATCTCGTACACGTTTCTACGGCTATACATCGTTAGGAAAGAGAAAAAGCGAAAAACATATCTGGCCAATAATATTTTTTAGATTATATTTTATTAGGCTTATTTTCACATAGCTTTAATCAATCTGGGTATTCCTTTACCCTCTCTTTTCACTATCATTTATGTTTTTCAGCAATCTGACACTTCATCACTTGAATCCAGTGAGCCTCAGCTGGAACGTCAAGTAGAAATTATACGAAATCTAGTCGATTCATACATGAAAATTGTGATTAAAACGCAGTTAGATTTGGTACCAAAATTGTTAATGCATATGCTTGTTAATGAGGTGAGTATATATATACGTTTAAATGAAAGCCCTTCATACAAAATAACAATATGATGTTTATGTTTTCGGTGGACGGATAAACTTTCTATCGTCAAAATATTGAAGTAGTGCATTATTTTATTTATCAAAGTAATTTGACAGGACTTTTACCAAGCCTCAGTATACACTGAGTCAACCAAATAGACATGACCATAAAACAGATAATGTCATCGGTCTGCATCTATTTATTTAGTTCATTTCTTTTGAAAGTATATTGAAGTTCTATTTTTCTAAACAGTTGATAATCTGTTCTAGGTTACTTTGACTTACATCATTTTCTTAAACTTACGTCAGGGTTGTTTACGAAATTGAGAGGACGAAAAGAGAATGTCCGGCACTTTAACCAGGTTGGTGGGCACAGAGGCTCCTAGGGGGCAATATGTATAGGAAAATAGTATCAATGATAGTGACACGACTACGCATTGAGAATATTGTTCGGATAAAAGATAAGAAAATATCTGTATGGAAGAATATTGAAACCTACTATTTATTAAAGACAAAGAGTTCGTACGTTAAGATCATTGTCACCGATTCTGTGCCATGTCACCTGACATTTCTAAACACTGATCACAGTTATCGTTCAGACTCCAACAATGTACTCTATGTATAATAACATAGTTCAGTCTAATAGTTAATGTCTTCGTGGACTGATGATATGTGTCCCTAGCGCTCTTTAACCTACTATCGACATTCGTATTACGTGTCAAGGTAGATGATGGTTCGGCATATATAACACATGACCCATTAGCTGCACTCAGTGAAAATTTACTGCTTTATGAACTGATTTGATATATCTACCGTGTACCTTACATCTAACTCCAGTATTGCGCACTCTTTTGTTTTATGATATTTGGATAATGTTTCATAGGCATCTGTAAATAAATGCTTAGCCTGTATATATTTTCTACTTTCATATATCATATCTCACAGCAGTAGAGTAATACAATGTTGTCATTTTGCTTCATATCTTATTGTGCTCAAGGGTTTCGCTGTTTCTAAACAATTAGAAACAAATTATTCTTAGTAGTAATACAATATAAAATCAACATACCATCATTGGTAGCATCTGTTGTCTTTTGACCCTGTCAATTATTCTATGGCAAAATCGCTAATCAGAATACCGACTTCTAGGACCTTGTTTTTGTGCTAAACCAATGACACGTCAACCAGCACTAACAGCCCGGCGTCAACTCTGAGTCCTTATTGGTCCTCAAAATAGTGACTTTCCGCCTAACACCCTGCCCATTGAGTCCAGAACACAGTCTCAGCCTCCACTTTATGAATCATATGTTTCAGACATACGTAGTTTATATACATATACATAATCTTCGGATACAACAATGCTGGTACTTAGATTTATTGTAATAGACACTCCTCTCAATTAATTACGATGCTGTCCAGTTATTCCTCGTGAAATGTAAACCTCATTACTGTGTATGTCTAATGTAATTTCATCTATTTTATTTGATATAATTATTTTCATGGCTCTTCATGTTAATGTTTTTCGCATACACTGTAAATCGTACTATGTTAGTTGTTTCGTATCTAATTTCTTTAACAGTCCCAATTTACATAAAATACTTTTTTTCCATGTAGCTTTTTAGTAATAATTAATGTCGGTTGTTAAAAAAACATTTTCTTTTCTTGTTCAGATTAAATCCTTCTTAAAAGGTGAACTATTACCAAATTTATATCAAGCTGGTGACTTGGTGAGTTTCTTTTATCATTTAGAATGAATCAGTTATATTGTTTTCTTTCATTGCGTTCATAAATAGATTTTTAATTAATCTCTGTTTAATAGTGTTATGGTGATAAATTAATGGAATTCATGAATTGATTAGACATATTTTTTTTTCCTGATTTTATTCCATGTTGTTGAATTGATCGACTTCGTCATGGAAATCATTTAAAAAAAATTGTACCATAAACTAAGAAAGTCAAAATAAACTTTATTTTACTATTAATAATTTCTGATTTATTTTTTGCAAATAAATTTTACTCACTTTACCTATATAAAAAAGCAAACAATAAATTCAGTGAATCAGTTAATGAATATTAGCTTCAAATATCTCCAATTATGTGTAGCCTTAATTAATTTACTTCTAAATCAAAATTCCTGCTTCGGTTTGGGCACCCGGGCAGTATCACAGCCCTCGCACATATCAAATGAGATCTGTGTGGCGCATATGTATTTGCGGCCTCCTTGTACAAATATTTATGTGTTAAAATAAATAAATCAATATAATCCAGTTGGTGTAATTTTAGTTTGATGTTGCTCAAACATCATTAAATTTCACTGATCAGTGTTGTTTTTTTATATGTAACAAAATGTAGTATGAGTTCTTTTGTTCACTTATATTCTAGCTGTAAAGTATGGAATTACTTACTTACTTACTTACACTTGTTATTCCCAATGGAGCATGGGCTGCTGACCAGTATTTTTCAACCCACTCTGTCCTATACCTTCCTTTCCAGTTCTATCCAATTGTTGTTCATTTTTCTCATGTCTGTCTCCATTTCTCGGCGTAATATGTTCGTTGGCCTTGCGGCTTGCCTTGTGACACAGTTGGGTGCTTTCCTCAATGTGTGTCATATCCACTTCCACGCTTCTTCCTGATCTCTTCCTCTGGGATCTGATTTGTTCTCCCCCACAGTAGGTTGCTGCTGATAGTATCTGGCAAACAGTTCGGAAGTATTTTGCGTAGACAATTGTTAATAAACACTTGTATCCTCTGGATGATGGCTTTCGTAGTTCTCCAGGTTTCGGCCCCATACAGTAATAAAGTATGGAATGGAGTGTTTGAATTTTGATTGTTTTTACACTTGGAAAGAAAGTGAACCTTACTAATCACCAGAATTCAGGATTGTAATTAAACACAAAATAATTTGATTATAATAATTCTTAATGTTATTTAGTATTTTATCCAATTAGTGTAATTTTCTTTTAATGTCTATACATATACTGTCATTGTTATTACACTTTAAGAATTCCTTAATGTCTGAATCATTGGGGGTTCAACAAAAACGCGATGAAATGGTCCGCGTTTATGATGCTATGAAAGAAGCGTTGAATATTATAAGTGAAGTGTCTATGTCCACTGTATCAACACCAATTCCACCGCCAGTCAATGATGACTGGTTACAGGTAAATGGCTATTTTATGTCTTTTTTTAACTTAAAGTACATTAATGCAACTTAGCTATCACATTTATGCCCATATGGTAGACCATATTTTACTGTTTGCTGATTGATAATCCTGACTAGACGTTCAAAACTTCATAGATACTAAATGCTAATGGCCTTATTTTCTAGTGATATGACCTTCTAACTTACATTCTAGGCTGGAGCATCTTTTTATGTTAGAAATAATTTCTTTTTACTCTTCAAATAGTGAATCACTCTAGTGTTAGAACAACTTCAAGTTATATCCTAAAATCTCCATTATTACGTATCTTTTCTTGTACGTTGAAGTCAGTTATGTAAATAAATACGTCGAATTTTTTATTTCCGTGTTGTAATACAATTTTAGCTAGTTAAACAATATCAACATTGGCTTAAACCTACCCTGGTAATATTGACTTATTATCCAGTCATTAGGTTTCGAATCGTGTTCACATTATTATTACTCCTCTTACCCCATTTCCAGTCTAGTTGACCTTTTATTTATATTTATAAATGCTCTTAACAAGTATATGTGTGATCAGATTGTTCGAAATGTATTGCGCTAATATATCACATAATTCTGATAATCTTCGTCTTCTTATTGCATTATCGAAATTTATCAAAGGGACTAATTACTTTATCAATATAATAAAACATGTATGTGAACTTCAAACAAATAACAGACTTTCATAGATAAATTTCAACAGTCGAAAAAATCAAACCTCCCCATGTTGACTGTGTTAAGCATTTCTAGTTGATTTGTTTCGATTTCAGTTATTATATGATATTTAAAAAATTTGCTATTGTTTTTAATCGTTCTTATATTTTAATAAATAGAGTGATATTCCAGGCGGTTTAACTGCTCCGGGATCTACAGGTACACTTCCTCCTCCTAGTCCAACAGCTAATCGTCGTCCACCAGCACCACCTCCTCCTGGTGGATGGAATTCTACAAGTAATACGGGTTCAATCAAAGGCTCTGGTCCCAGACAAGTACCATCAGTTCCTGCTAAAACAAGTTCTGGACAACTACCTTCTCCATTGATTCCGCAGTAAGCTTTTGTTGTTGTCGTTGTTTTCAAATTATTGTTGTTTCAAAGTAGTGAACCCTTAAAAGAAGATAAAGTATGCACTTTTTTAGACATAGCTACTAGCGTACGAAGAAATATAGTTCCATTGATGAAGAAAAAACAACTTTCTTTTCGTAAAATAACATAGAACTTCTTAAAGTTAGATTGTTATCACGCCTACAAACAGATATTTGTATGAGTAGAAAAATGACAGTTGGTGTGGAAGTGTTCAGAAATCGGTAAAAAAGAGTGATTTTTCTATTATATTACCAAAGGATAATTTATCTTCAACTTATACAACCATGCTGTTACGGACCCACCTTGGAAGTTTTTAATTCCTTCACATAATTTAGACCGCAAGTCGGTAAATTGTTGAACTATAGTCAATGTCTAGATTTGGTCGATACTGACTTTTTTCTTCCTCAACTAAACGCGATATACAGTTCTGAGTGATACATCATCTTCTAAAGCTGAAATTTTTACTATTAATAAGCTTTTATCAGAAAAGTGTCCATATACTTTGATTTAAGAATTATTGAATTGTCTTTACTCAACATTGTGAGCAAATTGATTATCTAAAGAACGATTAGCATCAAAAACCTAACCAGCCAACATTTTTATGGCAATATTGGTCAATAGACTAGAATTGATTGTGCAAGTTTCATTTTATTCATGCACATTTTATATTATGTAGTTAAATTAATAATATACTTATTTGGTCAAATATGTGTCTGTGTGAAATGCTATTTTATAGGAGCTCTGTATGTATACTACTAAAGTATACAAATTTTATATCGGTAGTGTTGAACTCTACACTCATGACTTTAATTGTGAATGTTGAAACTAACCTTTATGATATAGGCACATTTATAGGGATAGATATAATTGGACAAATTATTTATATGGGAGATATTTCTATAGCGTTTACAAGTTTTACAGACTACTTACAATAGCAGTAGTATGTAATTCTAACAACTTAAATTAAAACTTTCAAAGCCATAAAGTCAAACTATACCTCAAAATTTATGGGAGTTAAACAGTAGATAACGCAATGTATATTTATGGTTCACTGTACTATACTATAAGCTTCCAAACAACTGTTTGATTATATTATTATTTGTTTTCATTCATTATAATTATCTACTAACAGTTGTCTGTAAATTCAGTCAATAAATATGTGTGATACTACTTATGTTTTCTGTTGGGTACTGGTTTATTTTGTACTTGGAGGGGGAGTTACTTCATAATATTACATTATTCCTGTTGTAAACATGATAAACTGCACTGTTTTCTTAAATTATTTGTCTTTTTGTTGTTTCATGTGTTGTGCATTGTATATGTTGTCACTTATTTCTGTTTTATTCATTTTGTACGTCTGTTTTTCATCGATGCACATTTCCTACGATTACTACTACCGTCACAATTGTAAATCTCATGTTTTACATGTATACGTGCACATTCTATACATGTGTATGTATATATAGACGGTTATATCCAGCTGACATGTTCTCGATCGTGAAAGATTCCAATTCTCCTGGATTAATTAATTCTATGACAAGTTTTCCACTAGTACCACCATCCATTCCTGCGTAAGTAAATAAAACCATATATCAGTCAATGTTTACCATCCATTTGGAATGTTGATTTTTTTCCTTGTTGTTGTCGTTGTTTCTTGCATTAAAAACTGGTTTGCATGAGGTTGAAGTGAGTTCCCGTTTGTTTCCTTTTTTTATTTGTATACCGAACAGAAAGTGGCAAACAGTTAATCACACCATAGGATGCGATAAAAAAAATCTTAAGGCGAATGTATGCCTACTTATTCAATTGATGAACAAGAGATTATGAATTAATTACTCTATCAAGCTACTACTTTCACATAATCTCTTAATAACAGTGTACATAAATACCAAACGGCTTAAATCTAATTTCAATGAAATCTTGAGTCGATCGCAACCATTGAAAACTTGGAAGCACTGGATGGCCGTTTGGTTTTAGTACGAAACTAATTGTACGAATTCCTTATTATTGTTAAATGAGTTACTATGTTACATCTCAGCCTTATATCGATGATATTAATGTAGATTAATGTACTTAAAGTGTGAAAGTGATTTATCATCAGGTGATAATTAAACTGTTCAATAAATAACAAACGCTTGATTCGAAGATAACCATCCTTTCTCAGTGTTCAGTAAAACGTACAATATTCAATAATTTCGACCATTTCCTCATTCATTTAGTCCGTCAGTGTGACATGTAAAACTGTAATTTACACTGAGAGTCTTCTGTTAATACGCTACTGTAGCTCATTCCAACTTGCAGGATGAAAAAAAAGCAATAAAGTGAAAGTTACAACGAAATTTAAAGCTAAAATAATTCTTTTATCTGTAGTATTAACTTATTATATATAAACAGAAATAATGCTAGGATATTGCAAACATATTACACATTAATCGACAGATACACTATAAATTCACAGATGTATATCTTATGCTTACGGTTGTTATCATTGATGTTGAATCTTCGACACCTTTAAATGTTAGGTTTGTTTGAATTATTCACTGTTTTTATTGTACTGATTTGAAATTGTCAAATGTGCTTGAACATATAATATTGACAATGTGAGTTTGAAAACTCATAATGCATATTATAAAGTTTGTGATAACTAACCGATGCACGTTTCTACTCGGTCTTATGTTATTTGTAATTAAAACTCAAACGACTTTTAGGGATAATATTTCTTATGAGATTTATTCCACATACTTTTTTTTCTAAATTCCCCAGTTATATTTACATAATAACACTTTAGTAATAGCTACGAACACTTTTTAATCGATCTACTGCTTCAATAATCGTGAGCAATCATTTCATTTAAAATGTCTTTCACTGTAGATCTTTGCATATCTCACAGATTAAAACTTTCAATGATTCTGAGTTGTTTATTCACACTCATTCTGTTGTGAACTTTTGTAATTTATATTCGGTTCACAACGAATAGTCATGAATTATTTTTAAACATTGTATAATCGTTGAGAAAATGTGAAATTTCTTCATTCTTCCTATCTTACATGTTAATAATAGTAATAAGACATCTACTATGATGAAAATTTATTTAATCTTGTGGTACACACTAAGGGCTCTTTAGGTAAAGCTATACCAATACTGATGATTTTGAACTGATTTTAAGCCTATCAGAATCCAAGTGATGTATGTGGATAATATACTACGTAAAATTCCATAAAGGTTTAAGAAGCAAGTTAGAAATCAAATGCGAGAATGCTGTGCTGTCATAAGAATGAAAATACAGTTAGTTCTTCGGTTTTCTTTAAAGTCCAGTACCTTTCTTATTATTTTAAATATTTATAAATTGTGTTCTTTCTGTTTATAAATTTTAAGCATCTTACTAACTAAATATTGACAGAGCTTACTCAAATCTTAATAAAGTACAAATTAACCTCAGTCTTCAATCTGATTGATTTGTCGGTTTAGTTTTCCGCTTCTTGAATCAGTAAATGTATATAATTTACTTGTCAGAAAAATAATAATAGTCTTTTCTAAAGGTCTGCTGTGAAATGTTTCACACTAGACAGGAAACGTTCAATTAAGGTCTAGATTAAACAAAGTTCAGTATTTGGTTTCCGATGTTATTTTTCACTTTTCACTGTTTTAATATATTTTTTTCTCCACTAATTTTCAATCACACTTTGTCCGATTTCATTTTAGGCGTCGTTGATATACCTATTAGATGTCGTTGATAAGTCACATCACTCAAACACTGTTATCAGAATCCATTAATGCAATTATTTATTCTTAAAATCAATATTACATTTTCTTCTAATAATAATATTATATTTGTGAAAAACAATTTCAGTTGGTGACAAGTTATGTCAAACAGTTATCAATTTCAATGTGTTACATCAGTTAACTTACATGCGAACCTCTATGCACATGGACACATTCATATATATATAGAATTTATGAAGCTTGGTTAATAACCAAGCTGTTTTGATGCATAATAACAAATATTGTTGTATACTTCATAAATTATTCTTATTGTTGTATTCAATCTCATTCAACATTATCATCATCATATTCCTTACCGTCTTCAACTTTATCCTTCAAACCATATATTTACACAGTAGTATACGGTTACACTATTGATCTTTTATTTAAAATTCTGTTTGTAATTATATTACAGTTGTTATTCCTTTATCACTATTATCATTACCTAAAACCCATACTACATTCATTACCAATTTATGGTAATGTTAACAATAAGTATAATATTACTTATGATTGGTTTGGAAAATATTATTATTCATTCCTTGTTCTTTGTGTTTTTATTCATTCGTTAATTAATTGGAATATGTTGTGATGGAGGATTACTATTTATTTTGTAGATATTTCCTTCATTTTGTCTTAAGTTAATTATTTAATGGTTTTTTTATATTGACTGGGATATTGTTGTTAATCATAAGGCGGTATAACTTATATTTTAGCAAAGATTATTAGAAATCAAATTGTCTTTTAAATAATGGATATACATATATTAAAACTTATTATTTGCTTTCAGAGAACTATGTGTATAGTTTGTCCACAAAAAAATGCAAATTAAGATATTTACGTTATTAATTATGAATTTAGGCAATTTTGTTTCTGCAAGTAGGAAACTTCATTTGTAAATTAGTCTCATGCTACTATTTTTTGATGGTATCGAATATAATGGATCCTTTTCCAGGAAAGCAAACTAGGAATGTTGCCTTGTACTGTTGTTGCTATCTTGACATGGTGGTTGGGCTTGCCTATCGTGATGAAGCAACCGAGCTATACTGGCTGGAACAACCGTTCCTCTAGGTCCTACCATGTCAGACAGGTCGGTTGAAGAGCGGTAGGACTACAAGCAACAAACCCAAGGTCTGAAGGCGAAGTCGTACTGCTGACTGTAGAGGGGTGTGACAGAAGTAAGGCGCTTCCTTCAGACAACCAGCATGGCAGCGATGCTGCCTTCCCACAAGGAGGGGTGGGGTTAGAAAAGGTCGGCCCTAAAAATGCACACCTCACCTTATCCCACGGATATCCGTCTTTGGCGGTAAGGTTTCAACAAGTACGGAGCTAACACAAAAATTACTCACAGAAAGGTCGTGTGTGACCGGCCTCAAGCAGTTGTCCCTTAGACACTGCGGTCACTCTCTCAGGTCACTAAGACCACCTCTAATCCAATTTCCTTTTCAGGTACCTCCAGAACAACCCTTCCACGGTGTGGGCAACCAGGAAGTGGTAACCGCCCTCATCTTTGACAACACTCAAGACCACTGTATTCATAATCAATCTCCCCCTTCCAGTCTAAGGTTTCTCATCACCAAACATCAAATTGGGATTTCGTTTTATTCATCGAATTCCAAAAGTTATGCGTAAGTAGCACTAAGATGTTATAGAGACGATGAAACGTGAAATTAGTAAGGATCTGTGGATGTGACTGAGGATATTTTGAACAGTTTCAATATAAATCGGGCAGGTGTATTATCACAAATGGGAAGTTGTTCGAAATGAATAAGATTAATGTACCTTTAATTTTGTAACACAATGTCCCTATAACGTGAGTTCTCGTATTAACTGGAAGGTTTCAACGTAAAGTGTAACTGCAATTCTGGTGAAGTAACAGATAAATCACCATAGGATTGACCAAATTAATGAATTTTGTGTTATGACGGAGTATATACTGAGTGTTTGAAATATAATAATCGAGGCTTGACTGCATTGTCTTCCCATTGAACTCAAGACTAAAGGGAAGAAGGTGCTCATATTGACGGATTAATGTAAGTTAAAATTGTCTCGTCAGCGCTTAGGGTTAATCGTACTAGGCTTATGAGTCTCATTGTCAGAGTTTAGTAATTATATATTATATTCGTTATATTATGAGACAATTCCTCGCAAAAATATGTTTTAAGCTTTATCAATCAAGAAGTATGTATGTATGCATAATGCTTTTATGATATTTGAATTTTGTCAGAATAACTGTTAAGTCCATAAAAAATCTCATTCATAAGTATCCATCTCTCCTTAAGAGATTTCATATGATTAAGAATGGGTTTTTCAACTACCCTGTATAACTTCCGCATTTTCAGTGTGTACTCCCTCATTGATTCTATGGAAATTTCAAATGAAACAAATTAACGGTGTTCAAACTATTGTATTGTAATTATTTTAATCCAGTTGCGGTAGTTACTTATATTTACGTTACTCTGTGTATTATAAATAGCTGTTTTTGTCCGAGTTAAAATTTTGAAGCAAACGGGAACGCATTGCTCCCGATTGATTTCTTTCTCCAACACACATTAGTTTACTGAGGGAGGCTAATACTCAAAATAAATGGAAGAATATGTATTGATTTAAATGTAATTTGTGTTCAGTTGACTTCCATATTAGCTAAGTGTGATATATATTCATCTGATTTATGAATCGATTCATTGTAATTTACACTTAACATCAAACTAATTTGCATTCATTAATCCAATGTGATTTTATGTTCACTTGACTTTTGTTCGATATAGTATTCAATAATAACTTCATGTAAAATTTAATTATTTTGACATTTTCTTTAACTAATAATCAATGAATATGTTGGGGATGCTAGACCCCCAGAAATCACTTAGTAAACGTCTTATTTTTGTAATTTTATATTGGGAAATTGAATTTCTCGTTTTCGCGTCGAAAGCGCCCATTTTTACTTTCAGGTTGTATTTCCCACTTGAAAGGACCCTGAATGTCATTGGTTAGTTGGCTCCTTTAATCTGACATTTTGTGACGTTCCCCGAATACATCTTTATACTGTTTATATGCACTTAAGTTGTGTGCTTGTTGTTCGTGTTTCTGACTGCTTGCGGAATATACTTTCCCTCATCTAGCCCTGGACTTCTCCCTCTACTTAACAGGGCTGAGATGAACTGGAATAGTTTAACTGTCTTGTAGTTATGTCGCTGATCCTTTGTTCCGTTCGCCGGTTTTTAAGTAATCTCGTAATTCAAAATATGTATTTGAATGACTAACAATCTTCTTAGGTAAGACTTCTAAACAAGCTTGAACGGTGAGACCCTAATTTGTGGACGGGCTAGTCAGAAGCGTTTTAGAGATTTCAAGGTCACGGCGCCGACTTCAGTGCTTAATGCTAACATACGATCAGTTCACAGGGAATTTTGTACAAAACGTGATAATTGAGCGGCTATAACAAATAAAACGGCGAGACTATAATTTGTGGACGAATCAATCAGGTATAAGATAATAGATCTCGGATTTTAATGCGAAAGCCTTTCATGCATTTGGCTAAATAAATTTCTGACATTACAGCTGATGTCAGTTCGTGATGAAAATTTAACTAAAGAAAATTCGACATTTATTGCGAACTGGATAATAAAAGCACTAGTAACACTGGCTGCAGCCAGGTACTACAATATATACGGATGTTTGGAGAGCGTACAGACTCCTACATAGGCTTGGTTATATGCATCGTGTCGCTATCCGCAAGTAACATTTTGTGCGCTCAATAACCGAAGTGCACATAAACAATATTGAAACTATGTGGCTGAAAGAGTATTTGAGACTTTATGGTGGCTCCAGAGGCTGACTATTCTTTAGCCGTTTGGATGATTTCCTCTACTACCTGCATTACGATTTTAGAACCTATGAACCTCTTTTTAACCTTGACGAGTTTTTGAATCACTTGTGAGAATTGTATCCACTTTATTTTCTTGGTTTTGTATAAATATTTTTACTCCGTACTGACTTTTCTGACTGGCTAATATTCCTCAGGGTCAGTTAAGATCCGTTCAAAGGTCGTCCATAAATTAGAGTCTCGCCGCTTGAACTTCTTTCTCTAGTTATTCCACCATTGAAGTTACAACTAGGAGTTATCCATTTAGTCCATAGACTTACCCTTAAACGAAATGCCTTTTCAGTTCATAATTCTCTTCAATTTCTATTGACATTTGGATATAAACAATTTACTTAGCAATTCGACGTTTTGTAGCAAGTGAATTATGCTTTTCTCACTGAAATTATTCGTACAGAAGTCGACAATTAGGGTCTTCATTTGACAAGTTCATCGTTTCCTTGAGATCACTTTCTCTATTACAATTGTTTTGTTGATGTAGTTTAACAGCTATTAAACTATTCAGCTTAAAAATCCTTCTTATATTTACGAAATTAACTACCACCAACAATACACATATTTTTTCGGCGGAAATATTGATTTCATCGTTTCTTTTATCAACTGACGGTATAAATCACTGACTTGATTATTGAAAAAGTTTCCGGTTGAATTGAGACATTATAAGAACTTGTTTAACCTTAATTATCGCCAATATAATCAAATATTATTTCTTGGTTAACAGTTCACTTATAACAATCTATCTGTTAATTGTCTGTGGGATTTATCAAACTGATTTCTTAATTGTTTACTGTTTTTGGTTAATAGTAAATCCGCTTACTCTTTAACGACATGATCGATGTGATCTTGTACAGCGAAAGCATGTTGTTGTAACGGATGGATTGCACGGTCAGATGCGCAGCGTTTTATTGATCGATTCAGTGACACGTAAAACTCGTAAGGACGACCTAGAGTCCCGATTGGTCCCGCTCCCCTGTCTAGCCCAGCCAGTTGAGTCTAGAACGCAAGTCACAGCCTCTGAGTTATGAATCGTTATATTTCAATCATACTCTGTTTATATACCAACCAAA